TTGCGGGTGGGCGGGTGGAATGATTGCGCGAGCAGTGGAAGACAATTTCAAGTTTGGCAGGATGAACTCTCCTTTTTTTCAAAGAAGGGTTCGGAAGAAGGGTTCGGATATACCACCTCCCCAGGGCCGGGATAATCCACCCCCTCTTGGGGATTCCGCCCCATCGTTTGTTTTGAATATGGGGCCGTACCATCACAGCCAGGCTGGCCCCCCACCGCCCTTTTGCAAAAACACTATGCGCGCACATTTGTTCATCACAAGACAACACATATGACGACATGCACACGCGCGGGTCGTCGCGCGCGCATGCCGGAGTCTTCAAACAATACCTGCATGCGGATTTCGAAACCAATTGTTCCGAAAACGCATGAGTTGTTATGGTTTTGCAACATTCCTTTTCATAAAGGATGTGCGCGTGGAATTCGACCAAGCGGGCCTCCTCGCGCGCACGTGTCGAAATCATTCGAACGCTTTTGTGCGCGTTTTCCGGGGGGGGGGGGGAAAGAAGGAACAGCGTGTTGCTCGTTGTCTCCGGAATGCCTCCACTCCCGCCCCCCGCCATCTCTGTGCACGAAAGGGTGGCCACAGTACCGGCCACGTTCGCGGGACCAGCTTGCTATTCAGCCACGAGCACTCAAGTTGGATATTGGACTTAAGCTGTCCTCTCCCATTTCCCCCGTCAACAAATCGGGGCGACCGACCCACACGACCCTTATCGCCCACTCGTCGCTTACAGGAGGCCCGATAGCCCACCCCGGCCAGGACCTTGCGGCTTTCCTATCGGGGGCCTGTCGCCGATCTATGGGCGATGTTCCGCCGATTCCAGGCCGACGCTTCCCCCCCTTGAGCCAGTCAACGTTGCCCCTGACTGCCGTCGGGGCCGACGTCGTGTTCTTCGTCATCGTTTTCTTCGTCGACGTCGTCGTTGTTCTCGTCGTTCTCGTTCTCGTCGTCCTCGTTCTCGTCGTCGTCGTCGTCGTCGTCGTCGTCATTGTCGTCATCGTCGTCGTCTTCGTCGCCGTCGTTGAGAGGAATGCCAGCGCTCCCCCCCGGAGGAGACCGACCCCGACGACCCCCTGGCCCTCACCGAACCGCAGTTGCGGCGCACTGCCGGCGCGTCCTACTCTGGCACAGCGAGCTTCCGCCTGACCTTCGCCACGCCGTGCCGCGCCCTCGGCCGGTCGCCAGGGTCCCCCCCGAGAGACCTCTGGTGAACCCCGACAATGAGGAGGACCGGGACATGACGGGAGGAGGAGGAGCAGGAGGAGGAGGAGGAGGAGGAGGAGGAGGAGGAGGAAGCGGAGGAGAAGGAGGAGTGACGCTATAGGTTGCTGCCCTAAGTTTGCGCAGCGTCAATGAGGAGGAGGAGGAGGCGGAGGAGGAGGCGGAGGAGGTGGAGGAGGAGGAGGACACTTGACGCTGCAAGCTGCTACCCTACGTTTGCGCAGCATCAATGAGGATGAGGAGGAGGAGGTGGAGGAGGAGGAGGCGGAGGAGGAGGGACAAGAGGATGACGAGGAAGAGGCGGAGGATGAGGAGACGGAGGAGGAGCAGGAACATTGACGCTGCAAGCTGCTACCCTAAGTTTGCGCGGCGGCAACAAGGAGGAGGAGGAGGAGGACGAGGAGGAGGGGGAGGAGGAGGAAAAGGAAGGAGGAGGAGAGGAGGAGGAGGAGGAGGAGGAGGAAGCTGGAGGAGAAATGAGGAGTGACGCTTATTAGGACGCATCGACTAAGTTGCGCTGCGCCAAGGAGAGGAGGAGGAGGAGGAGGAGGAGGTAGGAGGAGGAGGAGGAGGCCCAGGAGGAGAAGCGGGGGAGAACGCGCCTAGGAGTGACGGACGATAGGTTGTGCCCTAAGTTTGCGCAGCGTCAGAGGAGGAGGAGAGGAGGCAGGAGGGGAGGAGGAGGAGGAGCCGGCGGAGGAGGAGGATGAGAGGAGGAGGAAGGAGGAGGGAAAGGAGGAGGATGAGGAGGAAGAGGAGGAGGGGAGGAGGAGGAGGCGTAGGAGGAGGAGGAGGAGGAGGAGGAGGAGAGGGGGAAAGGAGGAGGACGAGGAGGAGGCGGAGGAGGAGGAGAAGCGGGAGGATGAGGAAGCTTGACGCTGCAAGCTGCTACCCTAAGTTTGCGCAGCGGCAGCAAGGAGGAGGAGCAGCAGGAGGAGGAGGGTGCGGAGGAGGCGGAGGAGGAAGCGGAGGAGAAGGAGGAGAAGGAGGAGTGACGCTATAGGCTGCTGCCCTAAGTTTGCGCAGCGTCACTGAGGAGGAGGAGCAGGAGGAGGAGGAGTAGGAGGATGAGAGGAGGAGGAGGAGGGAAAGGCGGAGAACGAGGAGGAGGCGGAGGAGGAGGAGAAGGAGGAGGCGGAGAAACATTGACGCTGCAAGCTGCTACCCTAAATCTGCGCAGCGGCAAAAAGGATGAGGAGGCGGAGGAGGGGGATGAGGAGGAGGAGGAGGAGGAGGAAACGGAGGAGAAGGATGAGTGACACTATAGGCTGCTGCCCTAAGTTTGCGCAGCGTCAATGGGGAGGAGGAGGAAGAGGAGGAGGAGGAGGAGGAGGAGGAGGAGGAGGGAAAACAGAGGAGGACGAGGAGGAGGAGGCGGAGGAGGAGGATGAGAAGGGGGAGGAGGAGGAGGAACACTGACGCTGCAAGCTGCTACCCTCAGTTTGCGCAGCGGCAAAAAGGAGGAGGAGGAGGAGGAGGAGGAGGAGGAGGAGGAGGAGGGAAAGGAGGAGGAGGAAGCGGAGGAGAAGGAGGAGTGACGCTATAGTCTGCTGCCCTAAGTTTGCGCAGCGTCAATGAGGAGGAGGGGGAGGAGGAGGAGGAGGAGGAGGAGGAGGAGGAGGGAGGACGAGGAGGAGGCGGAGGAGGAGGAGAAGGACAATGACGCTGCAAGCTGCTACCCTAAGTTTGCGCAGCGGCAAAAAGGAGGAGGAAGAGGAGGAGGAGGAGGAGGAGGAAGCGGAGGAGAAGGAGGAGTGACGCTATAGGCTGCTGCCCTAAGTCTGCGCAGCGTCAATGAGGAGGAGGAGGAGGAGGAGGAGGAGGAGGGAGGAGGAGGAGGAGGAGGAGGAGGAGGAGGGCGAGGAGGAGGAGGAGGAGGAGGACGAGGAGGAGGGAAAGGAGGAGGACGAGGAGGAGGCGGAGGAGGAGGAGGAGGAGGAGGAAAATTGACGCTGCAAGCTGCTACCCTAAGTTTGCGCAGCGGCAAAAAGGAGGAGGACGAGGAGGAGGAGCAGGAGGAGGAGGACGGAGGAGGAGGAGGACGAGGAGGAGGAGGAGGAGGAGCAGCAGGAGGAAAGAGGAGGAGTTGGAAGAGGAGGAGGAGGAGGAGGCGGAGGAGGAGGAGGGCAGGAGGATGACAGGAGGAGGACAGGAAGAGGACAGGAGTATTCGGATTATGACAGCAGGAGGACTGGTGGAGGAGTAGGAGGAGGAGGAGCACCATAGTAAGCCCTGGATGTATCAACGATGCTGCAACACCCCTCCACGTCGGACAGCCATGACAAGGATGACAGAAGGATGACAGGAGGATGACAGGAGGATGCCAGGAGAAGGAGGAGGAGGAAGAGGAACATGATGATGAAGAGAAAGACCGTCACATGACATGCGGCCGACTCTCATCGGCCTTGCGCAGCCGCCGGCGGGCCCATGCTGCAGGATCTAATTACAAGGGCCTCCCTTTTGCCTTTGGCATTGGAAGGTGCCAGGTGACAATGGGTGATGCCGCAGGCTGGCCACGCTTGACCGATGAGTCAACTGACGGGAGGAGGCGGGAGGACGTGGGAGGAGGAGGTGGAGGAGGAGGAGGGGAGGAAGGAGGGACGATGGAGAAGGGAGATGAGATGAGGAGCGGGAGGAGGAGGAGCCAGAAGGAGGAGGAGGAGGAAGGAGGAGGAGGAAGGAGGAGAGGAGGAGGAGGAGGAGGAGGAGGAGTAGGAGGGGGAGGAGGCAGAAGGAGGGAGGAGGAGGAAGAGAAGGAGAGAGGATGAGGATAGGAGAGGAGGAGCTGGAGGGCAGGCGTCAACCCTGGATGCACCAGCGGTGATGCAACACACCCCTCGCGAGTCCCTACAAGCATTCATTTTCACATCCCATCCAGCCGAGCCCCATTTCGAAAATTGGTTGTCTTGCATCTTTTCATCGAGCGCTGAGGGGTGCGAAACGGTCGGATCATAAAGTTCCACGAGGTATGCAGCGAGAGCCCCGTTTTGAAGAGGAACTGTTCCCTATGTGTGTATTTGCGATGATGGCGATAGTGGTGGTCCACCACCACCACCACTGAGCCGTGCGTCCGCAGGGACGCGTGGGCAAAAAAGTGCGCGATTGGCAATCCTTCAGGGAACACGATCACTAAGATGGCACTGCAGAGCGACTGCGTGCACGCATAGACTCGACTGTGAAGCAGAAGCGGGATGCCTGACGACTGTGACGTTGAACAACCGAGCGCCTCACGACTGTGACGCAGAAAACAAAGCGCATCGCGACATTGGAATTCAGAGTGGAGGGAGACGGAGGGGGAGGAGGAGGCAGCGGGGGGGGGGGAGGAGGGGAAGGGGCACCGTTGCTATACATGCTGAGACAGCTTGTACACCTGACTCGTCCACTGCTGGCGGGGGCGGCCCCTCTTTCGGCGCCCAGCCCATCTCTTGGGGATCCCATCGTCATTACAAAGAGCGGCTTTGACAAGCGCCGGGCTACCCGAATTCATGATTTTTGCGTGCATGGTAACCTGCCTGGCGAGCAAAATCTGCGACAGAGGTTTGGCGGATGCTTTTTGCAGCACCACTGCGTTGCTAACCCGTGAGAGGTGGCACAAGGCTTTTTTTGTCTTCTCATCACATGGGATTTTGTAGCCATTTTGGCTCAAGCCCTTTCTGTTCAAGTAAGAATTTTGGCCAGGGCAGTTCGAGCTCGCTGCGAGCAGATTTCCGATAGGTTTACAGACACGTAGGGGCGGCCGCGCGGGCCCACCTCGCACGACAGCGCAGATTGCGGATATGGCAGTTGTTCGTGAGAAGGAGGTCTATTTCGCGAAGCTCGCAGAGCAGGCGGAGCGTTACGACGAGATGGCGGCCCACATGGAGGCAGTGGGGAAGTCGGGGGACGAGCTGTCAGTTGAAGAACGCAATCTCTTGTCAGTGGCCTATAAGAATGCAGTGGGTTCGCGCCGCGCTGCTTGGCGTATCCTCACCCTTGTAGAGCAAAAAGAGACCAGCAGGGGCAACGGTGAGAACGCACAGTTCGCGAAGGAGTATTGCAAGAAGGTGGAAGCAGAACTCGATAACATTTGTAATAACGTCCTATCTCTGTTGGACGACTGCCTCATCGGGAAGGCAACGACGGGCGAGTCCCACGTCTTCTACCAGAAGATGAAGGCCGACTACTACCGCTACATTGCCGAATACAGCGCCGACGATGCTAAGACAAAGGCTTCGAATGCCGCCAAGTCTGCTTATGAGGAAGCGCAGGCGATTGCTACTAAGGACTTGGCAGTGACGCACCCGGTCCGCCTCGGTCTTGCTCTGAACTACTCTGTGTTCCTGTACGAGGTGGTTGGGAATCCGGACGAGGCGTGCAAGACGGCGCGCACCGCTTTCGAGGACGCGATCGCCGAGCTTGACAACGTCGGGGAGGACTCGTACAAGGACTCCACCCTCATCATGCAGTTGATTCGTGACAATTTGACGCTCTGGACTTCCGACCAGGAGGGCGGCGGGCCGTAATAGCAATCCGCACGAAGCATCGCCTTTCAGTGAGAACAGAAGGATCCCTAACCCTACTCACACGATAAGGAGTTGGTTTCACTGAGGTCCCCGTCTTCACATTAGGGATCATACATCTGGGCGGTTCGGCCTGGTACATCTGCAGATCCATAATGTTCTTGACCCTCCTAACTTAGGCCCACTCCCAAAGGGTTAGGGGTCCAGCTATCACCACCATCTGTGTTTTGTCGAGTCGCTGCCTCATGCCTCAGCTCTCTCCGCACTCGCCGTGGAGGTGCCCGCCACTCTTCGAGCCTGCTCCACTTCTTCTTTCCTCAAGCAGCGTCATCCTCCTAGCGTTCGTTTTTGTATTCATTGTTTTGCCGATTGGCGCGGGCCCCAACCCCCCTCCCCCCCTCCCCCCCCTCCCCCCATGGAGTAGATCTAGATCTTGGTTGTTTTTGTTGGCGCCTGTCTCGAGTGGGGATACTCTCCCCCCGAAGGCCGCACTCTTGCAGCAGCCAGTCCCCCCTCTCCCCCCCCCTGCCGCCCCATGTCGAAACGCCGAATACAAAAAACGCTCACCTGAGGGATCCTCCTAACACCTAGGCGAATGTTCCTGGCCCTCCTACCTCAGGCCCACCCTTGATGAATCAGCCCTGGCATGGCTGCCGCAAGGGGAGCGAGCCAGCTCGCCCGCGGGGCAGCTCGCCAGGGAGAAGCGCCCACGGGGGCTCGGCCCACCGACCCCGAGCGTTTCAGAAGCAGGGCGAGGGCCAGGGGACCGTCGGGACAGACCTCAGCGGGGGGGGGGAGTCGTGTCGAGGGGGGCAGCTTCGGATCGACGTAAAAACTCGGAGGAGGGGGAGGAGGAAGAGGTACCCATACCTCTAGCCTTCGCCCGTGTTCCCATTCTTGGGCCTCCTGGGAGGCCCTCGTCGCCACCGCTGGATTCGCCTCGAAATCCTCGTCGGAACGCGCCCCGGGAGAGGGCCGGGGAGTAGCGGTATCAGTGCAATTTGGTTTCCCCATAAACGAGGCGTGTCGAGGGGCGTAGCGTAGAATCGAACAAGAAATTCGCCATAAATAACTAGCTTTTGGCGCTCTGCGCGGATTTTTTGGATCCGCGCTGGGGCCTCCCCGGCGGCGCCTCTGGCGCCGCCCCTGGCGCGCTCCGCGCGCCAGGGAGGGGGGTCCAGCGCAGATCCAAGAAATCCGCGCGGAGCGCTAAACGTTGATGCCAATGGCGTTTTTTCTTCTTCGAGTGTCGAGGGGCGTAGCTTAGAATCGACGTAAATGAGGCGGTGGCCCACGCGATCTGCGCCTGCAGATGGCCCCATTTTTAAATCTAGTGCCGCATCCCTGGACGAGCTGGCGTCGCAGCGAAGAGTGCCACGCGAGCTCCAGCTGTCTGGCTTCTCGGCCCACGCCTGCTTGGCACGTGGCTTGAACATGCCGTTTCCAGACAGCGTCCGCGCCTGGTCGGGCAGCTCCCTCGTCTCTCCTCTTTCCTCCTCTGCATGCCACCAGCATACATGCCAGATTGTCTCCGTGGTCCACGGCCCGTCCGGCTCAGAAAAGCCGCCTCCATGTCGCCGAATGACCCAGAGGCGGGCGGTTGTTGATTATGGCGTCCGCGCTGCGACCTCTGCCAGGTAGAGCAGCGGCTGCGCAGATCCGATGGAATTTAGCCTTGCGCGCGCTGTAGACACCTTGCCGTGTGGCTCTCGTGTGGACCACCCTGTTGACCGATTGTCAAAAAAGGAGGCTCTCAATTTTCCCAAGTGGGGCGTTCCAAAACAGGCTTTGCCTTCGAGGATCGAAGGAGTTGCCATCTCTTCCGCGGCGGAAGGGCGTCGGAAGGACGGCGGAAGTAAAACGAGGCCGCCTCCGCTGGCGGAAGCCAGCGGAAGGCTGGCGGAAAGCGGCGGAAGTACAACATGCGCCCACAAGAGATGCAAACGTTTTTGGGTTCAGGGTTTTCGGAATCGCCCAAGTAGGCTTTGCCTTCTGGACCTCCTATCGCCAGCATTCCTCGGGCGTTTCGGTCTTTCCTTGGACTCCCCCAGGGGCTTCTTCTGCCCAGCACTCCTCGGGTCTCCTCGCGTGGGTCTCTCGGAGTTCCCTTCGTGGGGGGTCCCTTGGGGCTCTCTTCGCTTCGACTCCCCGCTGGGGCTCCTCGGCCAAGCAGGGCAAATCAATGCCGACCCGAGCAATTCAATGCCAAGGGACGTCAAGGAATGCCAATCAATTCCAAGCAATTCCAAGCAATGCAAAGCAATGCCAAGCAGGGCCAAGCAGTTCCAATCAATGCCGATCGTTTCCAAGCTGAGATCGGCAATTCAAAGCGATGCCAAGCAGCGCCATGCAATGCCAAGCCATTCCGAGCAATACAAAGCCATGTCAACGAATGCCAAACCATGTCAAGCATTACTTCTCGTTTCTTCGAACTGATGCGGATTGCTTTGGAAGACAGACCCCTATGGCCCGCCCCAATTTCATGTCAATTATCCATGTTCCAAAGGTCGGGACTTCTCTCAGTCGTGAAAAGGAGCCGTCTTCCGTCCGTGTATATGTCAAGAACCGTTAGGTCGAGTGCGCGCGGCGCTAAGGCCATAACCCATTTTCAACATGTAGCAGCCCTCCACCCTTGCCGAAGCTGCATGATTTCTAACGAAGGCGCGCGGCACTGAGGCGAGAGCCCGGTTTACTAACTAGACCGCCATCCATCTTTGTAGGTGTTGGTTTGAAGCGCCAGGATCACGCATGGTGGGGATATCTCAGGCGAACCGCTTGGAACGACCGCTTTACCCACACTAGGGGGGCTACAGGGAAGAGGTATATACAAGGAGAAGGGATGGAGCACGACGAGGCGGAGGAGGGCGGATCGTTTTCAACATTTGATTCTCGCGTTAGCGCCGCGCACATTCGTTTGAACGGGCTGCGAGAGTTTTACGGATGGAGAGGATGGTTTTCAAGTTGTGGTTCTCGCCTTAGCGTCGCGCACGTTCTGAAAAGTTTTCAGTGTTGTAACGGATTGTTATGGTTGATGCCCGACGAATTGTGTGTTCGACAAGGTTTAGGGTTGTCAGGGTTCAGCAGTCACGTTGATTCGCGGTGTTGTTGTCCTGCGACTGGCGTTCTGGCTCTATTCAGGGCCGTCAGGACGCGGCAGTATGTAATGTTGATCCGCGGCGTTGAAGTCCAAGTTGTGTTGTAACACGTTTGACGGTTCTCAGGTGGTTGTCTTCCAACGGGGCATTTCCAGCAGTGAGCATAGTACCTTGTAGGGGCATGTGCAGAGGAACATTGGAGGGATGTATTATTTCAACATCCTTGATGCGTCGTCCATCTCCTCCTCTCCTCCTCCCTCCTCTTCCCCCCCTCCTGCCTCCTCCTCCTCCTCCTCATCTTCCTCCTCCTCCTTCTCCTCCCTCTCCCCTCCGTCCTCCCCCCCCTCCTCCCCCGCCCTCCTGCCTCCTCCCGCCAGCAGCCCGCTGCAGTGATGCTGCGCTTCGGGGCCCTGCCTTGTCTCCCAAGCTCGGGGGCGCTCGCTTTTGCCTGAGGCTCGAGTTCGCCTTCTGGGGCCAGCCCGTACCGCACCATACCTCGTGCCTCCTCCTTCCGCCGCCTGCCTTCGTCCTTCTCCCTCCCCCCCCTCCCCGGGGAGAACGGCAGGGCGCGTGCCGGAGGCTCCGTGGCGCGGCGCGGCGCGCGCCCGCTGGCGCCTTCCCCTCCCCTCCCCCCGTCCCCCGCGTACGAGAGCCAGGGCTTCCTCCTCCTCCGAGGACCATCGGTCCCGCATGCGACGCGTTGTGCTTTCTGCGTGTGGCACGGGCGGTCGCTTCGCGTGGTGCGCCTGTCGCGCGCGCATCAGGCACCCCTGTTGCCGCACGCCTTCGGGGCCGCGAGGCTCAGGGGGAAGTGAACGCACGCGCCTCTGCCGGGGCGCGCCGCTGCCTCCTCTTCGCGCCCCTCGGGCAGCGCTCTCAGCTGCACACAGGGGGCTGCTGCAGCAAGAGACAGGATGCCCGAAGTGCAAGGTTTCGGGCCAGGGTTGGGTTGGCCAGATCCCAGCATTCCATCATCAGCCACGTCTTGTCCTACGCTTTCGCACTGCCAAGCCCCGAATTCTTCGGCCAAGTTATGGCCTTCGGGTGACCCGATTGAACGTTTAGTTTCCCGCCCAGGAAGATGGGCAGGCCCTCACAGCTAGAGAGGTTCGGATTCGATGGCCGCGGCGTGTCTTGCTGCTGCTGCCTTGACCGCGCCCCCTCGTCAGGCCGATCCTCATTCTCCCCTATCTCCTCCTCCTCCTCCTCCTCCTCACCATCCCAGTTCTGGCTTGTTCATGGCGCTTGTGTGTTTCTGTGTGCCAGTGCGCCTCACGGCTTCTGGCTCACCCAGTGGCACAAGGTCTTCCGGCGCAAGCAAGTAGAAGCGTCGGATGTTTCTGCCTTCTCTGTTTCCTCTTGTGCTGATTTTCTGCCCCTGCTCACAGACATGCCTTCAGCATGATGATGATGATGATGATGATGATGATGATGATGATGATGATGATGATGATGATGATGATGATGACGGAGCCTGCTGACCCCAACGACGGCACCTCATTGGCGGACATACTGGACATGCACGCGGAGCTCCATCAGTTGGCCGGTACGGCTGGTGAGATTCCGACCTTGGCAGCGATGATGATCATGCGTGCGGAAGTACTCGAGCACATTGGAGCCACAGGTCCCGCTCACACATGAACCACGCCAGTGGAGATGGAAGGAGACCCTGCCGCGTCCGCGAGCCCTCTGCCACCACATGGGCTCGACCAACCATCTTCTGCCTTCCCAGACCACACTGGGGCTGGAGGTAACGTCGAGGTCGGCCCTCCTTCCAATTCGGCTTCGCCCTTCAGGTGCGCTCTTGCTGCGGCCATCCCGCGGGCGCGCAACTTTACTCCTTGGGAAAAGGACGTCGCGGGGGCCACGCGTTGTGATGTCCAAGTGATACACTGGGAGGCTACTGTTACTACGGTAGTGGCCCCTAGGAGTTGTGACAGTGACGACCCTCGCATGGTCAGTGGGGGTGTGCTCCTTCGAGGCCTACTTCTGCAGCTCCGCCCGTGTGGAAGACCATGGGCAAGCCTTCTCCTCCACACCTCCTTGGGCCCCGTGCACACGAGGCACGATTGGCCCTTCAGCACCTCGAGAATTTCACCGAGCAGTGGTTCGTCACGGCAGAACTCCGAGTCTTGCAAGACGTTGATCGTTGGATCGGCTGGTGCGTGCCGTAGATGGTGGTCATGTTATGCAGCCTTGGCCATATCATACCACACTCGCGTGTTCGAGAGCCGCCGCACACTCTTCCCGATCGCTGATGGCCACGTGCGTGGGACATTTGCGGAACTCTGTGGAACAGAACCTCCCAGCCCAGGCAAAGGCTTGTGGAGGCTTTTGGGCACCCCACTGGCTACGCGTAGAGAACAATTGCGGGACACCACATGAGCACGATGCAGGAGCGGCGCGGTCACATCCAGATCAGGAGCATTCCTAACCCTTCATGGCCTTCGCTCCTTGTTCAGCGTCCAATTGGTAATGGTGAACCTCAGCGGTGACACCATGCCCCGACCCATATGAACACCCAGAGATGCACAATCCTCTCACGGATCCCCTCGAGGAACAGCAGCAGCCTCCTGATCGTACATCGGGCCCCCCACAGTCGCAGTAAGGATCTCGCCGCAGCTCGTCGCACAGGCACCAGTTCGCATTTCATGTTCGAGAGGAGGCTCTTCACTGCTCTTGTGCAGGTCGCTGGCAGTGGTGTCTGTTCGAAGCACTGCTGGCCACGACTGCGACTCGTGTGCCGTTCTACAAACGGTCTTTGCGAAGTTCGCCGAGCAGTGGATACCTACATTTCCTTACCTGGACGAATATGGCGACGCGTACAGCCACTGAATGCATTGGTGCATCCAGTTTGTTCGGTCTCAATTCCAGCAGCCCATCCAAGACCATTCCTCCGAGAACGCGATAGACGAGTAGTACACTACCGTGCGCCAGAAGATGGCAAAGGACTTGTTTGCTGTGGATTGCTTGTGGAGGCAAGTGGAAAAGTTTGCCGGGCGTGGTCTTACAAGGCCGGGAGGTCGACGTTTTGGTTTGCTCTTTTGCCGGGCGTGGTCTTACAAGCCCGGCTGTTCGATGGTTTTTTGTCTTTTGTTGCGTTGCCCCCGCTTCCGCTTCCAGATGCGTGGCCCCGCGCCTGCCTCAGGGCCGCGCCCAGCCCCTGCAGGCCCCGCCCCACCAGAGCCAGCCCAGCCCCCACGAAGCTCCGGTTTCCCCCAGGGGGTGGGAGGTGCACGGGCAATCCGCAGCTCGCTGGAAACCCTACCCCCAAGGCACCATTAGGAATTGAACCCAAGAAGGTCAGATTATGGGAAGAAATATTCCCCATTTAACTACAATTCGGCACATACAGGGGAAGGAGGGCATATGATTGCCCTATTCTATGGCACGTCCCCTATTCTAGTAGTGGTGGTGGTGGTCGTCGTCGTCGTTGTGGTGGTGGTGGGGGGGGGTGGGGGTGCGGCGGGGGGTGGTGGCTGTCGGCGCAGCAGCGGCGGCGGTGGTGGGCCCGGTTGGAAATGCCAGAGGTAGCGGCAGGGTTGG